GCGATAAACTTTCTCCGACCAGGATGTCATCCACATATGCTTCTTTCTTTCTGCTCTTGATCAGGATGTCATCCACATATGCTTCCATGGTGACTCCCAGAACCTCCTTGAACAACATCCCGATCATCCTCTGGAAGGTGGCCATTGCATTTTTCAACCCGAACGGCATGACTATGTAGCAAAACATGTCGTCCGAGGTGACGAATGCAGTTTTCTCCACATCATCCGGGTGCATAAAGACTTGGTGATAACCTCTAAAGGAATCCATGAAACTCAGCAGCTCACATCCAGCTGTTTCATCCACCGGTAGATCAATTCTCGGCACGGGATAAGGGTCCATGGGGCAAGCTTTATTAAGATCGGTATAATCTACACACATCCTCCATGTTGACCCCTTCGGGGCAAGGACCACATTGGCCAGCCATTCAACATGAATAACTGGCCGAATGTGTCTAATCTTAAGCAAGGTAGCTACTTCCTGCTTTGTGAACTCTCGCCGTTTGCAGCCTGATACTGTTTCTTCTGTTGTACTGGCTTTGCATCAGGCCGAACCACCAACTTATGGCAGATGAGCTCAGGGTCAATCCCTGGCATGTCTTCTAGTCCCCGTGCAAACAAGATCTGAAACCTCTTTAGGACCACGATTACCCCCTCTCGAATCTCTTTCTCAAGGGCAGCCCCGATTGCAATTCTCCGGTCGGGGGCTGAGTCAATCTCAATGTATTCCAACATGGTGGCCAGTGCGGGACGTGCGTCGAACTCTGTCCTCCTGGTTTGATCATTGGGGCAGAAGATTAGTACACCTTCGTTTAATTTACCAATGCATGATGTGCTTGCCAGTTATAATAGGTAGATCAGAGTGCATTGCTTGCATGTCCTTTATGACATTTAGAGTGAAATTACCATTTTACTTTTAGTGTGGTTCAGGTTTTTTCAGTTTTGCAGGGGAGCATGTTGTAAAACTAACTAATTCACCTTCCCTTTCGCTTTCATGTTAATATCTCCATTACCAAGTAAAGTGTATTGCTGAGTTGTATAGTGTTAGGAATTTAATTCACGCACACGAAAAACAATAATGAAGAACACACGAAATTTGGTAACCCAGTTCGCCACGAATGACTACGTCTGGGGGCGCTACCAAGCCAGAAATATTATTTCTATTTTCGGATCCACACAATTACAATGGGAGAGAGCTTGTATTTATAGAGTAAAACTTACCCCTAATCCAACTAGGAGGCTCGGCCGGAAAAAAAGAAAAGAAAAAATCTCTTTAGATAATAAGAATAAAACCAGTGTCATTATTTATTGTCTAAAATAAGATAAAAAAGAAAAGAAAAAATCTCTTTAATACCAGTGTTTTATCTCCAACGCTACAATGTGTATAGTGCACATGTGACATTAGTGATAGTTACACAAACATTTGCAAATAAATTATCTTTCTCCGTATTTGAATGATTTATACAATTATGATAAGTTTTTCTCTGCAATGTCAATTACAATGTCGACATGTAGACGATGTTCTTGACATTATGGAGAAAAAGTTACCAAAATTGTGTATAAAATCATCAAAATAAAGAAGGAGATAATTTATTTGCTAATATTTATGTGGATATACCTCTCATGCCACATGTGTACTGCGCACATTGTAGCATTGGAGATGCTCTTAAGAATTGACCTACCTTATTACTAACTGCAGTTAGCACACCTACATCCTGGCCCGCTTCCTTGGTCGATTGTCGTTTATTCCATGCCATGCCGTTACGGCGTTACTATGAGAATTATAAGTAGGGGTGGGCGCGGTCCGGAACGGTCCGGTAAATTAGTAAAACGGTAAAACCCGTAATGTATCCGTGAGGTTTTTAACGGTCCGGAACAGTCCGGTTTTAAGGATAGAACCGTTCAGTACCATGTCGTTTCGGAATGGAACAAAACGGTACGGTACAATGCCAAACACATGCTAAAAATTTTGAACAAATCTTGCAATTAAATTAGTAGATATCATCACACCAATCAACTCACATGAAATGTTGATATAAATACAAGAAATTGCATATATAGGACTAAAATTCACAAATAAACAAATAGTGCAACACAACTAAGAAAGAGTATAGCAAAAAGATGGTGCACGAGAGAAATATCATCCTTAATTTACTTAGTTCATGTGAAAATATAAAAAAGAATATCATCAAATTGTTGAATATAATAGAAATCCTCAAGGTTCTTCTTCATCTTCTTCTTCTTCTTCTTCTTCTTCTTCTTCTTCTTCTTCTTCTTCTTCTTCATTCTAGGTTAAATATTATTCTGTAGTTTTAATTTAATTTATAGTTGAACGTTGAGAGCTAAGATTTAAACCATAGTAGTACTAATTAAATTGTAAAATTGCACAAACATACACAACAAAAAGTCATGTACGCTAACATTACTAGAAATGAAGTCATTAATGATTTCTCTAAAATTTTAATATTTTTCAATACATACCAAAATATAACAAAATTATCTAAAAGAAAAAATAACAATATATATATATTATATATATAAACACACACATTTAGCTATTTTAAGGATGCTTAAATAGTAAATACATATTTGGGCTATAAAATTGTTGGTCTATAAAAGATATCTATTGAATTGGTATAGAAAAAATATAAAAAAATTGAAGTGCATTATTTTCAAACGGTTCAGTCCGGTTATTTCGGTTCTCAAAATCTAGGACCGGTTCCGTACCCGTTTCAAATGGTACGGTTTCGGTACGGGACAAAAATATATAGAACCGTTTAAATACCCGGTATTCGGTTCGGTACCATTACGGGAAGGTTCGGTATTGGTTTGGTTCGGGTTTTATGCCCACCCCTAATTATAAGATCGTTATTTTATTAACAATATTACAATTAGTATAAGATCATTATATTTATGTGATTATTATATTATTATTATTATAAGATCATTATTATATAATGATTATCAATATTACAATTAGTATAAGATCATTATATGAGTAAGGCTCATAAGTTATAGGGAGTAGTGTGTAGCGATTAGTAAGGGTGAGCAAAACCGACCCTACCCGAACAACCCGATCGGGTATAACCGATTTTGGGTGAATGGGTCGGTTGACCCGACCCGCCAACGAAACCCGACCCGCCAGCCCGTTAAATTTGGGCCGACTAATAACGGGTAGGGTACTCCTAAAGCCTACCCGACCCGCCCGAAAACCCGATATAGCCTAAGCCCACTACCCACAAGCCCATACCCATTAACATATTACCCAATACCCATTAACCCCAGCCTTATTTCCCTTATCCCCTATTTCCCTTCTCCGCCACTCCAGTTAACCCTAACTTACACTCTCTATCTCTCGATTCTCTCTGACTCTCTCTAAGTGGCTAACCCTAACTTACACTCTGACTTCTCTCTTCGTCGGCCGCCAAGGACCGTCACTGTGGGGCTGTAATCTTCAACCTAGTGGAAGCATTCATCTAATCATCTCCTTCTAGCCGAGCGTGTTGGTTGTGTCACTTGTGTGACTCAGTGATTCTGTGAGTAGTTGACACTTGAGACCGATTCCCGATCTTTGTTCTTTGAGCCGTTGAGGTATAAAATACTTAAACATGTTCTCATGTTCGAATATATTTCTCAAAGTTGCATGTTGAGATCTTCACACTTGATTTCTGAGTTCAGTCATGTACAAATCTGATTTCTGAGTCGCATGTCCCTGTTTATTTGATAATTGAAATATGAATGTCGAACTGTGGAAGCTATATTATATTATTATATGTAGCCTGATATTCATGTGTTGCCTACTGTGGAGATGTGGTTCGGACTTGTATACTTGAGTTTAGACCTGTATGGCTGTATACTTGATTTCTGAGTTTAGACCTGTATACTTTGAAATGTGGAAGCTTGGTGTGGAGATGTGGTTCACTGGTTCTGACTATGGAATGTTGACGTGCACTTGTCGTGAGGTGCACTCAAAATAAATACAATACGACACTGATACGTAGTATAGTGTAGTAAGGTTCGTATCCACAGGGAAAGGAACACTTCTCTTTTTATAGAATTAAAGATACGTAACAAAGGGGGGTTTTATGATTGGTTGATGAACTTAATTTATATTTAAGCACGAAGATGAACGAGTTATGTGGTTTAATTAATGAGAAGAAGACTTGGCTTTGCTTTTATCCACTTAATGAAATGTTCGTTGATCCCGGTTATATCTTTAACTATCTTCCTCTCGAATACTCAATCGAGGAGTATATCCAATTCATCGAGGGTAGTTATTAATAACGAGACGCGTTCATTAATAAAACTTACTATCGAGTCAATATAGAACACGCGCCGTATATGTACTTGATAGTAGCAATAAAATCAAGATGAAAACGATTGAGATTGATAACCTCAACACAAGCGGTTTATCGGTTTAATCAATATAATTAATTCCCCTTGGCTTACTAACCATGAGACGCATGCATTAGCAACCCAAGTTTACTACCGTGAAAGAGCCGAGTTAATAACAAGCGTATTAATCGACCGATTCTAGTATTAATTAATATATGAAACAAAACTAGTTAATCCTTTAAGTATTGCTCAAAATATTAATATGTAATAGGAATAAGAATTAATTAATATTCAAGGAAGAAGATCAAAGAAAATAACTCACAACTTACAATTCATTAAGCTTCAAAGTAGCAAAACCAAGATGGAAGAGTTTAGCTCCTCATTTGGAGACTAAACATGATAAAAATATAAAGAAAGAACTTGTCTAAACTGAGCTTAGAAGTATATGTGAATTGGTGATCTTCTTGTGGAGGAAATGGGGTGTATTTATAGGCTTTTTAGGCTTGCAGGGTCGTGTACCCGATCGGGTTTTCAGCCCACTCGACCGGGTACCATATGTGGCTTCGGCGAAGCTGAAAAATGGGGTTATACCCGATCGGGTCTGTCGGTCACCCGATCGGGTATGGACACCCGAATGTGTTAAAATCTTCCCGCATGATGCCTTGTTCCCGGATTTGATTTGATTCGAAATTTCAGAAGGGTACCCGACCGGGTATAGGTCATACCCGATCGGGTACAGACCAAAAACGAGATCTTCAATCTTTTTCTTGCATTCTTGCACCTTCCTTCCACTGGTGATGTTCTCCAAAGTGTATTTGGACCTGTTTGAGCTCAGAATAAACCTAATCTAAACATATTACAAATATTTTACAAACTAAACTATTTACACCAAAAGTGTGTAATTTCCAAAGTAACAATCACTCGAAACTAATTAAAAGTACAAATTTAAATATGGAAATTACACGAATGTCAACTCCCCCACACTTAGTTTATTTACTCGTCCTCGAGTAAAACCAAATGTTTACATAATGTCCATCAACAGACCATGAGTTCATAGATAAGAAGAAATAAGGAACTAAAACCACCAAGTATTGTAAATGAAGTTACAAAACAAATTTTTCCTTGGGTTTAATGGTCTTCTATGCTCCTCACTTCTTCTTCTTCCTTTCTTCTTCCTCCCCAAGAGATAGTGCCCTGCAAAACGCAAATGCTTCTCTCATATCTCTCATTTTGCCTAGGAGCCTTTTCAGGTTTTCATCCTAGCATCTCTTTTCTTTTTCTTTCTTACCACTCACTCATCATTTTTTTTTTTGTTGCAAGCCCTTGTTGCTTAGATTGCCCTTTTTGGGTTTTCAACCTAACTAGCATTTCATTTCTTTTTTTTTTTTTTTTTTTTTACATTTGAACAATTTATTTGTAGAAACTAATGCTTAGTACAAGGTAAAAAAAATAAAGGGATTGTGACATACCAAGAGATGATGCTTCCTCCCCCACACTTGAAACGTGGCACTATCCTTAGTGCCCACTTTCTCCGCCATAATATCCGCCTCCAAAGCCGCTTCCCTGCATATAATCGCCACCTCCCTCGCCCATGGTCGTATCCCCGCCATCATAGCCACCACCGCCGGAAGTGGAGCCGCCGAAATTACCCCAATCGGAGGGGTTATACCAAGAGGGTGCCGGTGGTGGTGAGGACATAGATGCAAAGCCGCCGATGTGGGACATGTATGAGTATGTGGGCCCATACATCCTCCGGTAGTCGTCCTCATACCTTTGCATATCGGCCGCCCTTTGCTCCTCCATCCTTTGGAATGCCGATTGTTGCTCGGTCCGGAAAGCATCAAATTGGCGGTCCCTTGCTTGTTGCTCCGCCCGGTATTGGCCTAGCTCTTCTTGAAGTTGGGTAAATTGCCTACCCATTTTTGTGTAATCGAGGCTCATGGTTTGGAACCCGGCAAGGAGGGATTGTTGACCCGCCAAGAGTTGTTGGAAAAAGTCTTGGGGTGGCGGGTTTTGAGGAGGGTCGGGAAGAGCATTGTGGACATCTTCATGTCCTTGATTGTCGGCTTGATCGGGATGATGCTCGGGTTGTTCTTCGGGTGGGTTGGCTTGATCTTGGAGGTGGGGTGGAATGTTGTTTGGGAGGAGGTAATGGGGGATCTCGAATGTGGCCATCCTATACCTAAGCTTAGGCAATTCATCACAAGGGAGGGGGAAATATTTGGTGGGTTCGGGGTATTTCATGTGCCACCGATAGCGTTGGTTTCCATTGTGGTCCTTGTTGCCCAAAGAGATCAAACCCGCATTGGACAACCAACCAATGTGCATTAAGCAATCGGGGTGAATTGGAGCATTGTCCGTATAACCGAATTTGCTCACTAAGTGCATCACAACCCCCCCAACCACAATATTCCCGGTCTTCTTACATGCTTCCTCCAAGTGATCCCACATCAAATTGCAAAGATTATATTCCGTGGGTCTATGAAAAAGGGCTAGAGTGAGTATGGCCACGTCCCCCATCCGAGTATGGTGATTGTTGGGGCGACCAAGTAAGGAGTTGCACAAGAACTTTAGGAACATCCGGAGAAGAGGATGTTGAACGTGACTAATGGATAGTTTAGACGCGTTCACCTTCCTTTCTCCGGTCATTTTGGCCCATAAGGTGTGCCCGTCAAGTGTGCTCTCCGGTATCCCCCTTTCATGGGGTGCGGGGATGCCGAAGTGTTCCGCAAACTCACGTCTCGTTATTGAGTATTCGTTGTTTAACCAACGAAACGTGAGCTTGTCGTAGAGGAACTCCGCCGGGTCATCATGTAGAACAACTTTAGCCGAACTCATCACCTCATAAATCACTTTGTCAACACAATTATACTTCATATTAAAAATCAAATTCATCTCCAACCTATCAAATAGTTCCCTCATTCCATTCAACAAGCCTAGTTGTGTAAGAGCATTATGACATAGGAATCTAGAAGGAACTACTTGCCTTTTGATGATGGCCAAAAATCGTTTGCGGTGATCTCCCGGCCCAAAGCGGATGGTCTCATACCCCGGAATTGGTCCTCTAGCATTAGAGCTCTCCGGTTGGCTTCTTTTTGGTGCCATTTTGTCCAAATTTCAAGCTTGAATTCGGATTTTGGGGATTTTGGGGTAGGGTTTCGGATTTTTGGAGAGAGAGGGAGGTGTGGTGATTTTTGGGTATGAAGTTGGAGAGGGTGGTGAGAGGAGTGTTTTGGTGGTGGTATGAGAGGATTTGGTTGAGTGTTGGGTGAGTTATGGAAGCTTGAAGGTCCGAAAATGGGGGATTTGGGAAGAGGGGTTCGAGATTTGGGAGTTTGGGGAAGATGAAATGGCCGAAAATGGGGTGAAATCTCATTAAAATCCCGTGTACCCGATCGGGTGGCCCGATATACCCGATCGGGTATTTTAATTCGAAAGTATCTTTTGCTTTTCAGAGTATAGTACCCGATCGGGTGACTCGAATACCCGATCGGGTAAATTAATTCGAAGGTGCCTTTGATTCTGCAGCTTAGCGTACCCGATCGGGTGAGTCAAATACCCGACCGGGTATAACGTCGATTTTTTTTAAAATTTGCTCCAGGGGTTCTCACCCGATCGAGTTTGGGGGTACTCGATCGGGTAATTTAATTCGAATTAAATTCCCAAATTCTTGGAATTAGACCCGATCGGGTCTTACGGATACCCGATCGGGTACCCTCTTAGAATTTTTTCTTCCCTCGATCGGGTTTCCTCAAGACCTGATTATTTCATACGTACCCGATCGGGTCTGGGAATTGTGCCCGATCGGGTACCCTACCCTGGGACGTGTTTTTGTCCAGTTTTAACCTCTTTTTAGCGCGGATCCGATCGGTTAAGTCATGAAGGCCGATCGGAGGTTTCCCCAGGCTTCCAAAACATGGTTTTCCTTCATTTTTTCTTGAGGAGCTAAACTCTTCCATCTTTATATTTTTATCATGTTTAGTCTCCAAATGAGGAGCTAAACTCTTCCATCTTGGTTTTTTACTTTTTTTTTTCTTGAGAATTTTACCCCATTTTCTCAAAATTGACATTAAAAAGCAAGAATTTGAAAAGAAAAGAAGAAAAATGCGTACCTTGACTTGGGTTGCCTCCCAAGAAGCGCCTTAGTTAACGTCGCGGCACGACGCCATAGTCATGTTCATCCTTCATAGATTGGATCGAAGAGATCCATGCATTCAACGCTCTCTTTTTGGAAGCCCTCAAGGAATGGTTTGAGTTGATGTCCGTTAACCTTGAAGATTTTATCGGTGTCAAGGCTTTTGATCTCAACCGCTCCATGTGAGTAGACTTTGACCACCTCAAATGGTCCTTCCCATCGTGATCTCAGTTTACCGGGGAAAAGACGGAGGCGTGATCGGAATAGAAGGACTTTATCTCCAACTTGGAAGTCCTTCCTTATTATCATTTTATCATGCCATACCTTCGTCTTTTCTTTGTAGATGGCGGCATTCTCGTAGGACTCAAGTCGAAGCTCCTCTAGCTCTTGGAGTTGTAGCTTTCTTTTCATCCCCGCTTGCTCCATATCAAGATTGAATGTTTTTACCGCCCAATAAGACTTGTGTTCGAGTTCGACCGGGAGGTGGCAGGCTTTCCCGAACACAAGTCTGTAGGGAGACATTCCAATTGGTGTTTTGAAAGCGGTTCTATATGCCCATAAGGCATCATCTATCCGAAGGCTCCAATCCTTTCGGTTAGGGTTCACCGTCTTTTGGAGTATAGACTTCAACTCCCTGTTTGAGACTTCGGCTTGGCCGTTTGTTTGCGGGTGATAGGCGGTGGAGAGCTTGTGTGTGACGCCATATTTCTTCAACAAGGCACTCACAGTTTTGTTATGGAAGTGAGTGCCCCTATCACTTATTAGAATGCGCGGGACTCCAAACCTTGAGAAGATGCGGGTTTTGATGAAGTCCGCTACTACTTTGGCGTCATCAGTCCTTGTGGCTTTTGCTTCCACCCATTTTGAGACGTAGTCTACCGCTAAGAGGATGTATAGATTTCCGTGGGAATTAGGAAAGGGTCCCATGAAATCTATCCCCCAAACATCAAATATCTCCACATAGAGCATAGGAACTTGCGGCATCTCATGTTTTCGAGAGATGTTGCCCATGCGTTGGCAATTGTCACAAGATTGACAAAAGACATGGGCATCTCGAAATAAGCTTGGCCACCAAAAACCGCATTCAAGTACCTTCATGGCCGTTCGCTTTCCTCCAAAGTGGCCACCACATGCATGTGAGTGACAAAAGGCAAGAATGGATGCTATCTCTGTCTCGGGGATGCATCTTCTAATGACTTGATCTTTGCAATGTTTCCACAAGTATGGTTCATCCCATACGTACTGTTTTGCATCGTGTTGGAGCTTCTCTCTTTGAGCTTTTGAGAAGCTTGGTGGAAATCTGTTTAGAACAAGGAAATTAACAATGTGAGCGTACCAAGGGCGAATTTCCTTAAGAGAGAAAAGAGTCTCATCGGGAAATTCCCCTCGGATATCATCTTTGATATGATCATTTCCTTCATCAAGGACTAAACGGCTCAAGTGATCGGCCACCAAGTTCTCCATGCCCTTCTTATCCTTGATCTCAACATCAAATTCGCTCAAAAGTAGTATCCACCGAATCAACCTTGGTTTGGCCTCCTTCTTTGTCATTAAGAATTTAAGAGCCGCATGATCGGTGTAAATGATCACTTTGGTTCCAAGTAAGTATGACCTGAATTTTTCAAGTGCGTAGACGACGGCCAACATTTCTTTTTCGGTGGTGGCGTAGTTGCGTTGAGCATCATTGAGTGTGGTGGATGCATAGTAAATCACATGAGAAGCTCTTCCCACTTTTTGGCCCAAGACGGCCCCGACCGCATAGTCACTAGCATCACACATGATCTCAAATGGAAGAGACCAATCGGGAGCTTGGATGATAGGTGCGGTTACTAGCTTTTCCTTCAACGTATTGAAGGCCTTCTTGCATTCCTTGGAGAAGATGAATTCCACCTCCTTTTGCAAAAGTGTGCATAAAGGAGATGCAATCTTTGAGAAGTCTTTGATGAATCTCCGATAAAAACCTGCATGTCCAAGGAATGATCGTATCTCCCTAACGGTGGTAGGATAAGGGAGTGATTGGATGACTTCAACTTTGGCCTTGTCAACCTCTATCCCTTTGGATGAGATTACATGGCCTAGAACAATTCCTTCCTCCACCATGAAGTGGCATTTTTCAGAATTCAAAACAAGGTTTGATTCTAAACAACTTTTGAGTACAAGAGATAGATGATATAAGCATGAATCAAATGAGTCCCCATGGATTGTGAAGTCATCCATAAAGACTTCCATGAATAGCTCAACATACTCAGAGAATATGCTCATCATGCATCTTTGGAAGGTAGCGGGTGCGTTGCAAAGCCCGAATGGCATACGTCGGTAGGCAAAAGTGCCAAACGGACAAGTGAACGTTGTCTTCTCTTGATCTTCAGGGGCTATGGGTACTTGAAAATACCCGGAGTAGCCATCAAGGAAACAATAGAATTTATGCCCCGCAAGTCTCTCAAGCATTTGATCAATGAAGGGTAAAGGAAAGAAATCCTTTCTAGTTACCGCGTTGAGGCGACGGTAATCTATACATACCCTCCATCCATTTTGAATTCGGGTGGGCATAAGTTCTCCATGTTTGTTCTCCACCACCGTGACTCCGGTCTTCTTGGGAACAACTTGGGTTGGACTAACCCACTTGCTATCGGATATGGGGAAGATTATCCCCATTTGGAGAAGCTTGATGACCTCCTTTTTGACCACCTCCATCATAGGTGGGTTCAATCTCCGTTGTGGTTGGCGCACCGGTTTGGCTTCATCCTCCATCAAGATGCGGTGCATGCAAGTAGATGGACTAATGCCTTTAATGTCGGCTATAGTCCATCCGATTGCAAGTTTGTGCTCTTTAAGCACCGCAATTAGCTTCCTTTCTTGCTCCCCGGTCAGTTTGTTTGAGATTATGACCGGTAATGTTTCTTTTTCTCCCAAGTACACATATTTCAAATGTGTTGGGAGTGGTTTCATCTCCACTTCGGGGGCCTGCAAAATAGAAGGCAAAGGCTTTTCTTCGGGGATGGTTAGTGGGAATGCTCTTGACCCCGGTGGCATAAGTGGAAGTTGGAAGTGGTTATCTAACTCCACCATCATGGCTTGTATATTGGGGGTCAAAGCAAGTTCTAAAGAATTTTCCCCGAGGTCATTCTCAATTACACTTAGTAGCTCATCCTCCCCATTCATTTCAAAAGTATTTTGCACAATGGGGTCTATAATATCAATGGCAAATAGAGAATGATTTTCATTTGGGTATTTCATGGAGTCGTAAATATTGAATTCAACTTTATCTCCATCAAATTCCATAGTTAAAGATCCGCTAAAAACATCAATTTTAGCTCTAGCGGTCTTTAAAAATGGCCTTCCTAAAAGGATGGGAACCGCATTCTTATCATTTTCCATTTCCAAAACATAAAAGTCGGCGGGAAAGATCAAATTGTCTACCATAACTAGTACGTCTTCGACAATACCTTTAGGGTAGGCATTTGATCTATCCGCAAGTTGAATAACTACTCCGGTTTCATTGAGAGGGCCAAGTTCAAGTGATTTATACAAAGAATAAGGGATGACATTAATTGATGCCCCCAAATCTAACATGGCCTTTGAAAACGTAGTACCTCCCAACTTACAAGGTATAGTGAACATGCCCGGGTCATTGTATTTTTTTGGAAGTTTCTTTTGAAAAACCGCGGAGACACGTTCACTAACTTGAACTTTCTGTTTTCCATTGAGTCTATGCTTCCTTTTTATTGTGCATAACTCCTTGAAAAATTTTGCAAATCTAGGAACACCTTTTATTAAGTTGAGAAGAGGAATATTTACCTCACACTTGGAGAATGTCTCGTAGATGTCCTTGTCTTTGTCCACCCTCCGTGTTTCCCTTAGAGCTTCGGGAAATGGTGCCTCCACTTCATGAATAACCGGGGATGGAGTTGAAATGTGAGCTTCCCCTTCCTCCGGTTGAGCTTTCTCCACAAACTCTTCTTCCTCTTCCTCGCCAATGTGGCTTTTGGCTTTCTCCTTGGCAATCACCAATTCTTTGCCACTCCTTAATGTCACCGCATGGGCTTGTTGCCTAGGATTCGGCTCCGTTTGAGATGGAAGCTTTGTTGAATCCTTGGCTTCAAGCCTACTCACCGCACTTGAGATTTGGCTCATTTGATTCTCAAGGTTTTGGATGCTTGATTTTGTCTCATGTTGGAATTGAACCATGTTTTGTTGCATGGT